TAAGAGAAAAATATACATTTTCTTCAGTTTTGAAAATAAATGTAATGTATTCATAGCTTCAATAAACGGAGCTAATATATTTTAACATCAGTATCATCCATTGACAAGCAAGACTACTGTATTTAAGAAAATTCATTCCAGCTCCTCCACCACATATTTAACTTAATCAATACTTGGGACATTGTAATTAGCTTATGTTTACACAGCACTCTGAAGATGTGAACTGCTAAGTGACAACTAATGATGAGGCTTAAGCAGCATTCATCAGCTTTGTGTGAATTCACAAACAAACAAGCAGCTCTTGAAAGTATTAATACAGATCACTATTAAATATCTAATTCTATTCATTTTAAGAGATTGTCCATAAAGCTTTTGAAACATGCAATTTACTTGTACAATACCAGCTTTTAAAAATCTAGCAGTATTGCAATTCTACCATAGCTTTCATTGTTACTGTTTCTGTTGAAATTATATATCCTATTTACACATCAGGAACTACAGCATTTAGTTAATACTGAAAATGAGTGCCAATTCATTTGAAAAGTGGCTTCAAATGGGCACCTCAGTCCGCAGCCCTTTTTGAATTATAATTCACACTCTTTTTACTTAAAGAACAATAACTTAAAAGACTTAATGTTCATTTGTACAGTCTGGAACTTGTCCCAGAAACTATGGTGCAATCTATGAGTAAAACTGCTGAAGATCATTGATGATGTAGATCTGCAAATGAGGGACTACTTCCTGCAACTTTCTTGCAGCTTTTATTCACTAAAATCGAATCAAGACCACATAAAGGAGAGAGGCAACAAGATATTGAATCAAATAAAACACTTATTTTACTGGTGAAGAGTAGCAGGTTTTTTCTCAAATACCTCAATGCAAATGAAGAAAGGAAACAACACTGTACAAAGACTTACAAAACTAGCACTGAACAAAGCACTGAAAAGAAAAATTCAGTGAAGGGAAGGCTTTCATTGCATGGAAATGCATTAAAGTGATATAATTAACAATTAAGCTTACAAATGTCTGTGACTTAACAAATTCCTAGTTTGAAGCACCTGATGATTTAAGGAGAAACACCGTTACCTTATTTTTCACTGCACAAAAATAAGCATGTATTCCGACTATACACAAACTTTCAATAACTGTCTGTAACCTCAAAAATCTTATCTAAATTTGTGATAACATTCCCGCATTAGAATCTAAAAAGTCAATGAAAGGCAGTAAAAATACAGAATTCAGAGAAAGACTAAGAGAATTATTGTAACTTCACGCACTCTGAAGCTGCTTTTTTTACAAAGTACCACAGGAATTTAAGAGTATGGTAGATCGATTCAGACTCTTTAAACCAGACATTTCTTAATTGGTCATTATGAGAAAAATTACTCTTCTATATTAAAAGTAAGCAATTGTACAGTTGTTTCATTTAATAAAATCCTTGAGAAACACTCCCACTTGCTAGCTCACTGCATATGTAATTTAACAGAACAAATTTGTTAGTCTTCTATTTCAGTAGAAAAGGGCAAAGATGAAGGCTTATACATTTTTATTGTGCAATTAAGACATGATCTACATGAATTTCAGGACAGGAACACTCCCATCCTGCTTTCAGAAATCAAACTCTAATTGTACGGTCTTGGGAGTTTTTTGTGATCACTGTAGCAAAGGATATAACACAGATCAGTTCCAAGTAACTGGCCTTTCATTAGGAATCACTTAGGACAGGACTGAATTATGAAAGCTCTCTGGGTAACACTTTTTGGACAAGTGTAGGTACTGCAAAATAATTAACACTTTATTTATTGATCATTTGTTATACTTGGTTTACAATATGAGCACTAGTGGGAAATAATTCACTGTATCTAAAAGTTAAAGGGAAGAAACAAGAACATGTTTCCTCAAAAAGTGAATCCTGGCTGTTGTGACTATACCTATGGTTCAGTCTGGCCAGCAAAAGGAAGTCAAAGCATGAAAGATCATTTGATCAACACAACCCTTTTCTAAGACACAGTTCAGGTCAGACATGAGCATTTCAAGAGTTCAAATGTTAGTGAGTACTTCATAATATTGAGTACATTAGTCTTATGTATCAGCAAAACTGTGACACTAGCAGCAAATCAAAATAGTCTATGAGTTTACTTTTTTTTAGTGGAAGAATATGAAGTTACAGTTCTTCTGGAATCCACTGAGCAAATAGAAGATTGGAACATAGATGAACGAGGTAGTATTTACAACTGCTGTCAATTTGCTGAGCAGCTCCAGGTAATGCAATTTCATTTTCCCCACTTCTAGGAAAATACATATCATTAGTTTCCTGCACTTGTCACAGCACTTCAACAAACTGATGGAAAGTCCTGCATAAAAGAAAAATCTTACAAGCTTGTGGATGCAATTCAGTACTGAGATCTTAAAGGGTACAAAACCTGTGATTCCACGTAAGAGGGATTTAAAGGATTTATATCAGTTGGTATTTTCCTGCTCTGGGTCTATCTACCAAGACAAAGTTGAATCCACCCATACCTGTACAAGCAACTCAGGTGGCAGTAACTTTCCACTGTTTTTCTGTCAGAAGTAGCCCTGACTAGAACAATTAAAAATTCTTCTGCTTGTTGGTTACAGCAGAATTTCCAAATATGTCCTTCAGATATATTCCACAGCTTTTCTCCTTACCTTCTCTACCAGAAAAAAATATTCTTTCCCACCCATTTCCAGGATTAAGAGTTCAGAGTTAAGAGTTTGGGAAAGCACTCTTTTCCCTTTCATTTTGTCTTTAAGAACACAAGCTAATTAATAATTCTATATATTTAACCTTCTAGATGCCCAACAGACACCAAGTTCTGAGTTCTCTCTAAGCACACATCCATTTTCTGAACTGCTGATATGGACAAATGATGTTGATCAGAAATCTCCAGATTGACTTAAATGACTTACTCTGGAGGAATAATCAAACTGCCTGAGCACAGGCATTGAGTGCCATCGGTGTCTAGTGCCATTGTGCCATCTACAGTGTCTGGACAGCTGAGTCCAAAGATCAATTGCACTAATGCTGGACATCCAAGTGCAGAAAAAGGTGCAAAGGTCCTTAAATGTCTTCTGGTACCTGCTTTAACAGGAACAATGCAACATTTACGGACAATCTGGGCCAGACCTCTGGGATGACTCGCAGAACTTCAGCCCCACATCTGTGTCCATGCTCCTGCTGTTCATTCTTTTTTCAAGACACTTCTGTTTTTATCCAGTCTCTGTATATTACAGCAACAATGACACCACTACCCTCTTTCCAAACTCCTCTGAACAAAGCATACATGGTTGGGGTTTTTTTTCAGATGAATCCTTTTGGAAGGAGTTTACCCTCCATGAAAAATTCAACAGAACTTCTCTAACTGTTGCTTCACAAAGTTCCCACACAGAACCTCTCTCCTCAGCTTCAAATGCTCTTTTCTGACCCCAGATGCTAGAAGCCCTTGTATTTTTTCTGACTCTGTTTAACAGTGTATAAAAAGTTGTTTACTTGTGAATCTATTCTAATAATAGAGTTTGCAACATTGGCCCCTACCAGGTTACATCCTGTTATCATTTCCTGCTACAACCCATTATATGAGAAAAATGGGTCAAACTACAGAGCATCAGAAGCATCTTCATTTAGAAGTTAAGCATGGACAGTAGCAATGCAAGCTTCCCTTGTGTTTGTAATGAACAGAACTAGACCTAGAATGGTAAAGGTAGTCTTCTATGCGAGCTAGTTAAGTCACCAACTAACCTGTTGAAGCAATCACGAGATTCTAATTTATTCTAGCAGACTTTTGGGCTATGGATATACAATCATGCTACAGGAGACTTACTAGTTTGTTACAGCTTGAAGACAGAAAACCTCATGTTTGGTATAATTTCCACTGACACCAATATTTTTATTTTGGTTATTTTTGTGATTTTTCCCCACAGACACCAACATTACCAGAAGGCTTTTCTACTTTATTTTGCATACAGTTAAAACTAGACTTAAGTAATCTCTTAAACAGACTAAGCATTAAGATCTTAACACAGAAAGTTAGATGATATAAAAATACAAAGGTTTTATTATAATTACTGTTCATCCTACACTTTTTAGAATGCCTTCATTTATTGACCCTATAAAATGAGGACTTCTATAGAGAAAAACATGATGATGTTCAGTGTACTGAACTGTACAAAAGTTGCAGCATTAAGAAGTATTAGACATGAGAGAATATACACAAACCTTGCCATGAAATGGAAAGATAAACTAAATAGTGAGGAAACGATGAGGAGGCACAGAGACTTCTTGTAAAGTAGTGAAATAGAACAAGTCAAAGACAATTTTTACACACACAAAAAGAAGAGGTGGGAAGGTAGCCTACTTAACTGCACTGAGGGAAAGGAAGTGAAAACCAGGCACAAGTAATGAGCTTCTGTTATGAGCAATACACTAAGTGCCAAGTGTACACAGACAAAAGGCTAGTTTCAAGTTCTTAATGTAAAAAAAAAGAATCTTACTCATCTACAACTTGGAAGGAAAATCCAAAAAGAAACATCAATTATCCTTTTAAAAAACAGCCTTTTTTAACAAAAATATATGGTTACTTTGGCCACAGTATAATAAGAAGCTCCTCAAAAGCAACTTGTCACTCAATCACTGCCAAATTCTGATAAACTCAGTGCATCACAGAGAAGATGCAGCTATTAAAAACATGTTGAATGTTAGTTCAATAACAATAAGAACTGTACAGTAGATAGTTCTAGGAGAGATATTCAGCTATACTACTTCTCATTGAGTTATAAGCTCAAAGTCCTAACTGGTATCTTTTGTAACTTTAACCAGTATGGTAGACAACTGATATCAAAATGTATGAAACAAAATTGATTTAAGTAAATTCTAGCACAAAGCTTTTAATGGTGGAGGAAGAAAAAAAAAAGTAAATCAAAATGAGAATAAAGCCAGTACAATTGTAACTATCAAAAATTATATGAACAATTCAACTTACTCTTTTACTGAGGCAGATAACTGGCCACATACTACAACCTAAAGTGCAGCAGCAGCAAAGGCATCCACATAGTAGCCATCGTACATTAACTGGAAGATTCTTCTTAAGACAACTGTTAACTCTACTGATGCTGGCTTTAAATTCTTCAGGTGCAACCTACAATGAAAAAAAAAAAGAACAAAAAACAAACTAGTACTCCAGCAGTGAAATTTTATTACTTTTATAGCGGTCTATACTTGGAACGTCTGTTTTCGTAATAAAATCTTAACTCCAATTTCAAGCTCCCATTCAAAGATACTCACCTTTCCAGTTAAAGATGAAGGAAATTCTGCTTCAAATTTGTTGCTTAGTCCAAACCTGCAAAAACAAAGTTAAGATTGTACCAAAATTATAAATAACCCTAATCCATGCCACAAATTACAAGCATCTCATTATACTTTCAGTGTCTGTATCAGCAACAGCATTCATTTCAGGGAAGTAATACTCATTATTAAAATTCCTAAAATTATCCTAACAGACAAAAGCACACCACTGTACACAGACTGAAATCCATCTTGCCTAGAGTCTCTTCTCATAGTTCTCTTGATACTGTTGACTCTTCCCCAAACTCAGCGAAACATATAAGCAATAGTGGAAAGTGAGGAAAATTAAGTACTTATGGGGAAAGGGGAAGTAAGTTAAGGGCACAATTTGAATCACCTCCCTCCTGCACCAACAGAGATGCATCTTGAAGAAAAGCTCATCCAGTGCTAAATAACTGTTCTAAGCTTAAAAAATCAAATCAACACCAGCTTGTTTTTCAGAAAAGAAATACATAGTAAGTTTCAAAACACAAAATACTGTGTAACAAAACCTGGGTTAAATGATAACTAACTTTAAAGAAACATACTAACTATGAATGTAAAGCTATGAAGCAGTTTGAAATGAGCTAGAGTTATTGAATCTTCTGGGTTTCACAAGATCTAAAGATAGAAGAGTTTCAGCTTTTCTATCTAAAAAATGTTTTCTACCTTATAGTTGCCTGGTTGATTCATGAATGGATGAACCTCAAAGAAAATCTGAATGTTTTCTGGCATCTGGACTGGGCTATAACTTCTAATAGGAACGATACAGATTAAAAGTCATGAATAAAACTGTATGACTGGCTAGTCATTTGGTAAACAGCAGTCAGTGGAAAATATAAGTTGTAATTAACAAGCCTCTGACTATAAACCAGAGCAGTCTTACTATCAGATACTACAAACAACACAAATCAGAAACTAAACTGCTCAAGACTTGAATATTGGCAGTCCAGCCGTAGAAACGTAGCATGATTGTGTTGAAAGGGATCAAAGGTCATCTATTCCAACCTTTCTGTCATTAGATCAGATTCCTCAAAGCTGCATCCAACTGAACTTTAAATACCTGCAATGATGGTGCATCTACAGCTTCTCTGAGCAACCCATTCCAGTGTTTCACCACTCGTCACAGAAAGTGTCTTTTTTATATACAAGCTAAATCTATGCTTTTTCTGTTTAAGATCATTGCCCATTGTCCTGTCATTATAGGACATGGTAAAGTCTCTCTCCATCTTTCTTATAAGCCTCCTTTGTATATTGAAAGGCCACAATACGATCTTTCCAGAGACCATATTTACATATAAGTTATCTCTCAGCTCTGCAACTTCTATAAATCTCTCAAAACTGGTGGAATAACAAATGAAAATTGTTGACCAGAGAAACATATGGCGACCAAGCATTACCACTTCAACAGAGAACAAAGAAAACTTATACTTAATGGAAACATAGCTCTACCATTGAAAATCCTGTTGACTACTCCAACACAGGAGGAACATTGACCCTTTCCCCAAACTGCTGAGTGAAACTAAGTGCTGAGGCAAAAGTTATGTAAACGTCAGAAAGTGTCATGCCCTATCAGTTAAGCTTTTTAAAATTGCCAGTAAATTGAAATGGAAACCAAAGTCTGAAAAAAATCCCTTGGACCCACACACATTCAGAAGCAGCTAAAGCAGCTTGTGCTGCAAGAACTAAAATGAAGCTGAGCCCCTGACCAAGAGATGAGACAGAATTTCAGCTGTCCCTCTACCCAGAATACTACGGAAGCCCTTGACTCTGAGGCATGAGCAAGTAAGTTACAGGCACAAGAAAGCCTCCTTAAGTCATGAAAAGATGTAATTGCAGGGAAAACACTCCTCAGTTTCATGCCGAAGATTTGTCAGGACAGAAACAAAGCGGTTTGTTTTGTCAATGTATGATCCAAAAGTACTCAAATATTGACAGCTCCATTAAACACAAACAAATATTCATGAAGATCGTAAAAGCCATGCCTAGCAAAGGCACCTCTACTGGAAAACCCTGAAATTGCAAACACTGAGGCAGAGTAAAGCACAGAAACTTCCAACCAGTGCTGTTACACTTGGTCGAAGTTATAAGCAAATAGACTAAGAGTTGCTTCTTGAGGCTTGTGGCAATGTTGAATGCATGGTGGGACAGTGAAACTGAAGCTAACTCTACCAACATAATTCTGAGCTTTCCCCATTACAGTTTGTCACCATACACAGGTAGCAAAAAAGGGTGACTCTATACACTAAAAGCAAACCATACCACACATTGTAAGTAGTTACGTGATCTCAGAATTGTCACTCTTGACTGCAAGCTGCAATTTGGAAACAAAAATATTAGAAACCTCACAGAACACTACTACATGTTCACCACAAAGACTTAACAGCTCTGATAAAAAAGCAGAAAAAATATGTCTCAAAATCAAACACTGGAAATCAATATTTTGGAGATGCATTTCCTCAGAGAGCTGTCCTACTATAGCACTAGATTTCCTATGTGCAATACTGCATCTCCAGTGACACGCACTCTTCTCTGCTTGCTCTATGCCTTTCCACTCTACATTGTGTCTTCAACAGATCCATGCTCACCTCACGCATGAGTACTTCTTTTAACCTTCCTGGACCTGAAAAAGTGTTTCTTGAACATGACTGCTTGAAAGGTTCAGATGAGTTCCTGCCCTTATGTACAGTGGAGAAAGAAATGGTGAGAGGTGGAAACTTCAAAGTACAGAAGTTTACAGTGCAGGATACAGCCAATCTGTAACCTTTTTCAGCTTGCAGTTCAGATCTTTCTCACACAAAAGAACTGATACATGCCATCCTCTTCCTCTTTGTCCTCTCTTATGGAGACACTAAACCATTTTTTTCATTGCTCTCAACTTTAAGTTCACATGTTCCCAACCCTTACAAAATAAATACATATTCCACGAATCTTAACACACTCCATTACTCTCACATAGCCCTGGTTTCACTTATATGTCCTTGATACAGCATAAGGTTGAAACTGCAGTTTAACATCAAAGAAACTGACTTGGGTGAAAATATCTTTTGCAAGGTTTTGTTCCCCCTACAAAAAGTTATCTTGCATCAAAACACAAGGTGCTGTAACAACAAACAGCACAGAAAGGCATTCATCAGCACAACACAACAGCTCTCCATCATTCCAACACTGCAAGAGACTAAGAAATTCAGTATTACCAGTTAATGCTGTCTGCTATATATATAAGGCTCAACTGGTCAAGGAACAGGAAAACAATCACTGAAAAACACATAAATATTGTCTTCATGATTTCAAACTCATCATGTACCTCCCTTCCTACCACAATATGATTTTAGAAACAAGTGTGAAATACCTTGGACTTTCAGTTCAGTTGTAAGTAAGGATCTATATTTTCTCAGTTTTCAAGTTTCTTGCCATTAGAAGAGATCACCTCACATTATCAGAAATTAGATGAAATGTTACTACTGTCTACCAAGCTACCTAAACTCTGCCAGTGTGAAAACAGTTTAAAAAATAATGTTAGAAAAAAAATTAGTATTGTCTGCAGCATGCTCCAAACAGTGAGTTTAAGGAGAAAACTCTTAGTGCTAACCAAAAGCCCCACATCCTGCAAAGGCAAAGCCTTTGTATGTTTTATTTGGATAATATTTACCTGCTTTCCTTTAATTGCTTTTAACTACTCAGCTTAGAAAATACTCTGACACACTTCCGTTCTCTGTTGGATGAAATCAAGTAATGGTAAATGTCTTTCTGATGCTAATCTGTAGTCATGGAATTGACATATTTCAAACTCAACATTATGACTCTTATGTGAGATCAGAGAGGATATAACAACAGACTATGAAAAGAGGGCTTCTGTTTAAATATACACATCGCAGAAGCAGTCAGCAACTCTTCAATCTGCAGAGCTAGGGACAGATCAATCCAGTATCTGCTTAACTGCGGATAATTTTTGTCAGACCTTCAAAACGTATACATGCTTTTATACTGGCAAGACTAATTCATCATGTACATAAGGACTTGACCTATCCCTTATATCCACCAAGTGAATGTTCTAACAGGGATCTAACTGTTAATAATAAGTTTCTGGATCAATGACAAAAAAAGTTATAGGCTCTACAGAGCTAAAAGTGGCTGATGCTATTTAGTGAACTGTTGACACCTGGCACAGTAAAGAAAACATATGAAGATCATTTGCCTAATTTTGGAGGCACATGTACATATTTCATTGCTCATCCAAAACCTAGAGAACAAGTATTTTAAGGAAGATCTTAAAGTAATAAACTAGTAACCACTAATGAACAATTAATGAAGTAGCCATCCTTCAACCACAATGTCCTTAACTAGTCACAGCTAACACTTCACAAGCTTCCCCAGCATTCCACTAGCAGGCCTTCATCTTGTCTTGCACAACTAAACCTTTGAGTATTAGAGATGAAACCAATGTTTGCCTCTGTTTCACTTCTTTATAGTCTTCATTTGCGAGTATGAAAACTATCTAATTGCGGTTTTGTTCTGTTTTCCAGAAACAGGCTAAGGCTACTGGCTTATTTTCAGTGAATCACTGGTACAAGTTCTGTTCACAATAAACAGTCATAAGCTGAACACACTGACTTCACGCTTCTGTTCCTTCACAGGGCCTCCTCGGCCTCCTGCCCCATCTATGTTCTTTCAGCTCTCCAAATCCCTCTCAGTCTATCCATGACTTATGTCCTCTTTTTAATCAGAGAGCTAACTGTCCTGTCTGGCTATTAGTATTCATGCCAACCAGATATTAAAGCAGCAATGTACCAAAATGCCACAGAACTACTCTAAATTTAACCCTGGATTTCTGGGCAGGTCAGTATCCGAAAATCAATATTTATGGGACTCAGAGCAACAGACTACAATCCCTTCAACTTTTATGTCTCTATTCCCAGACTAGTCCTGCTGAACACTGAACGCTAAAAAAGAAAAAGTTTGCACTACTGAGTCTTGTCTCCAGCTTGATATTTCAGCTTCTGACAGTATACCTCATAACTGACAACAACTACACTTCAACTGATTGAAGGAAAGATATCCTCATCTGTTACATTATGGAAAAGTACTACACGAGCTGGTCACTCGCTGTTTGACTGTCAGAGATACCAAACATTCACAAATCAAAACTAAAGTTGCTCCCATGGTAAACACAGTGAAACAACACATATCAATCACAGCTTCACATAATTTTACATGTACCTATCTAACTGATGCCTCTTCTTTGTTAAAGCCCTCAGAGCTATATTAGCGGTCACATGTTAAACGGGAGTGGGAAAGAGGTACATAAATAACCCTAAGCAATAGTCCAGCCAGTCATGTGCTGGCACATACCTGTTATACACAGGAACACAGGCACCTGACTTCCTGACAGCTCATCATTTTGGACAAATACTTCACATTCCTCCGCCAGTCACAGCCCATGCCAGCCTTGTTTCCTCAGCGCCTGGGTGGAGGTTTGCACCCGCTTGCGAGTCCCAGGCGGCTCCAGCTGCCCGGCAGGGCCGGGAAGAGCCCCCTCGCAGCACCACGGCCGCCGGGGAAGGGCAGCAGTCCCGGCCTGGCGCTCCCCCGCCTGCCCCGACTCGCCCCGAGTTGTCCCCGCGGGCTCGGAGCCCCGGCCCCCCCGTCCCGCGCGCCCGGGCCTCCTCCACCGCCCGCCCCCGGCCACGCAGGCCCCGGCGCGGCCCTTACAGCGGTGACATGGCCGGAGCCGCGCACACCCACCGGTCGGGGGAGTACTTGAGGAGCTGCTCCTCCAGCGCCCGTCCTCGTCCTCCTCCTCCTCGTAGATCTCATCAAAGTCCGCCATGGCCGGGCCGGGGCGTCCGGCTGAGACAGAGGAACCGGGGCGGACGCGACGGGAGCCGGCCGCGGAGGCGGGCGGGAGGGGGCGGGCGGGGCGCCCCGGGGCCGGGCCGGCCGGGCGGCGAGGCCGCGGCGGGGGGCTGGAGCGGCGGCGCTCCGGGCGGGGGAGCGCCCGACACCCTCCGCGGGGAAGGGCGGGGCGGGGCAGGAACAACAAACAACAACACCGGCCGCGCGCCCCGCCCCGCCCCCCCCGCCGCGCGGGGCGTGTCCGCGAGGGGCGGGTGTCCGTGAAGGGTGGGCGAGGCCTCGGCCCCGGGGGTTTGCGTTGCTCGAGTTTCACGGACTCACAGGGTGGGTCGGGTTGGAAGGGAGCCCAGCGGGTCATCTGGCCCAACCTCCTGCTCGAGCAGGGTCATCCTAGAGCAGGATTGCATCGAGTTGGTTGTTGAATGTGAGGGAGACTCCACAACCTTTCTGGGCAATCTGTTCCAGTGATTGTTACCCGCACAGTAAAGAAGTTCCTCCTTGTATTCAGGTGGAACTTCCTGTGCATCGGGTTCTTCCCGTTGCCTCTTGTCCTATTGCTTGGCACCACCGAGCAGACTCTTGACACCCTCCCTTCAGCCACTTACAGACATTGATGAGGTCCCCTCTCCTATCTCTTCTCAAGGCTGAACAGGCCCACCTCTCTCAGCCTTTTCTCATAAGAGAGATGCTCCAATACCTTAATCATCTTTGTCACCCTCCACTGGACCCACTCCAGGAGCTCCATGTCTGTCTTGTCCTGAGGAGCCCAGAACTGGACACAGCTCTCCACAGATGGGGCCTTCAGGGTTGAGCAGAGGGGCAGGATCACCTCCCTCAGCCTGCTGGCAGTGCTCTTCTTAATGCATCCCAGGATACCATTGGCCTTCTTGGCCACAAGAGCACAAGGGTTTAGCCCCTTTTTGGGTCTTCATGAAGTCAACCAAGGGCTTTGGATACCTGCTGTGAGCTAAGGGATTGCCCATTGGGCCCTCTGATCTAGTGGAGGGGAATGTGGGGGAAGTGGCCCTTGCCACGGCCAGTCTGCTCACACAAGGTCTGAGACCAGGTGTCTGCATGTCCCTTGGTGCTGTCAGTGCCTCCGTCTGCCATTCCTGCAGCAGCCTTGCAGCCCTCCATGGTAGGCACCATGCCAAGGCCACTGTTTGCATGGAGTGCAATGAACAATGAAATTGCAGAGGAACAGCCCCTTTAGGACTACATAGATGAAAGCTAACCAGAAAACCCTAAAAATGGTGGAGACTTTTGTTCTCTCTCTCCAGTTTTGTTATTTGTCAAAACCAAAACTTAAAACCTGGAAAACCGGAGTGAGCATAATAGCCTTAGCAACAAGTAGGCCATCAGCTGTTGTAACAACAGGAGAAGGCAGTGCTGACAGGGGATTCAGTAGTAGCAGGAAAACATTTTAAAAAGGGAGAGCAGATTTTTTTATTTTACAGAGTTGACTAGTAGATCATATACTTGCAGCAGTATTTAATGTATAATGTCAGAGGATTCAGCCCCAAACTGTCAAAAAACCAGGTAAATCTGCTTTTCATAGAATCATAGAATAGCCTGGGTTGAAAAGGACCTTAAAGATCATCTAGTTCTACTCCTGCTGCCGTGGGCAGGGACACCTTCCACCAGACCAGGTCGCTCAAGGCCTTATCTATCCTGGCCTTGAACATTTCCAGGGATGAGGCATCCACAACTTCTTCAGGCAACCTGTTACAATGTCTCACCACCCTCACAGTAAAGAATTTTCTCTCAATATCTAATCTAAACCTACCCTCTTTCAGATTAAAGCCATTCCTCCTTGTCCTGTCACTACATGTCCTTGTAGAAAGTCCCTCTCCATCTTTCTTGTAGGCCTCCTTCAGGTATCGGAAGGCTGCAATTAGGACACCCCTAAGCCTTCTTTTCTCCAGCCTGAACAATCCCAATTCTCTCAGTCTTTCCTCACAGCAGAGGTGCTCCATCCCTCTAATCAACTTAATGACCCTCCTCTGGACTTGTTCCAACGCCTCAGTGTCCTTCCTGTGCTGGGGACCCCAGACATGGATGCAGCACTGCAGGTGGATTCTCATAAGACTGGAATAATAGGGCAGAATCACCTCCCTGAACCTGCTGCCTCCACTGCTTTGGATACAGCCCAGGATACAATTGGCTTTCTGGGCTGCAAGTGCACAATCCTGGGTCACGTCCAGCCTCTCATCTGCCAGCACCCTCAAGTCCTTCTTAGTAGGGCTGCTCTCAATCCATTCATGTCCCAGCCTGTGTTGGTACTGGGGGTTGCCCTGGCCCAGGTGCAGCACTTTGTACTTGGTCTTGTTAAACCTCATGGGCTTAACATGGGTTAAACCATGGGATTCCCATGGGCCCACTTCTCGAACTTGTCCAGGTCCCTCTGGATGGCATCCTGTCCTTCAGGTGCGGCAACCACACCACTCACCTTCGTGTCATCTGCAAGTTTGCCAAGGGTGCACTCAAACCCTTCATCTATGTCATTAATGAAGATATTAAATAACAGTGGTTCCCATAAGGACGCCTGGGGGACATCACTTGTCACTGATGTCCATCGGGACTCTGAGCCATTGACCACTACCCTCTGAATGCGTCCATCCACCCACTTTCTTATACATCTAACAGTCCACCCCTTAAATTCATCTGTCTCCAATTTAAAGAGAAAGATATCATGGGGAACCACGTCAAAGGCTTTAAAAGTCCAGATAAATGACATCTGTAGCCCTCTCCTTGTCCACTTTCATCAGTGTGAAGGGAATTCTACATTTCCCTTTTCTTTCCCAGTACTTTACTTCATATATCTTAATTACAATAGCCTCTTTCTCACATTAGATCATTTTTCTTCTGAAACCTGCAGTTCTTTTTTCCTGTCTTGTTACGGTATATCAGAGAATCATAGAATGGTTGGGTTGGAAGGGACCTTAACGATCATCTAGTTCCAGTCCCCCTGCTACGGAGCAGGGAACCTTCCATGAGACCTGATTGCTCAAAGACCCATCCAACCTTGAACGCTTTCAAGGATCGGGTATCCACAACTTCTCTGGGCAACCTGTTCCAGTGCCTCACCATCTTCACAGTAAAGAATTTCCTCCTAACATCTGATCTAAATCTACCCTGTTTTGATTTAAGGCCCCCTTCTATCGCTACAGGCCCTAGTAAAAAGTTCCTCTCCAGACTTCTTGTAGGCTGCCTTTAGCTACTGCAAGACTGCTGTAAGGTCTCCCCAGAGCCTTCTCCAGGCTGAAAAACCCCAAATTTCTCAACCTGTCTTCAATGGAAAGGTGCTCATCCCTCCAGTCATCTTCGTGGCCCTCCTCTGGATTCGTAATACTGATCAGCTTATTTTCTGGAAGACTACATTGCCACTTACTCTCCATTATTCATAAAGATCCTCATGGTGTACTTCTCAGGAATAGAGTCTGTACAAAGATATGATGGTGCTTATTGCTCTGTGTAAAAGCAGGGTAGAAGCAGTGTGGTTGTGAGAGAATCCATGACACTGTCTGTGCTGTAAAGCAAAAGGCAGTATCTTTTGCTGCTACACTGGAAAAGTGTGACAATATTTTTGTCATGAGCTACTTGTAACAGGTTTCGTTTGCCAAATAGCAGAATTCTACAGAATTACACAGAATCCCCTGGAGTAATAGTGTGCTTTCATACTAGTATGCTTATGTGTGGTTTTCCTTACCTAGTTACTGTTCTTAAAACATGTCTCACACGTAGAATTTGGATTTAACAGGACTGATGACTCACTCATTCTGTCTAACATTCCTGAAACTTAATACTGACAAAAACAAGAGAAACCCACTGATTTCAGTGAAGCTATGCCTCCTCGTGCTAGCTCACTCTACAGATTAATTTGGTAACCTGTTTGTATTTAGATGCCTATTTCACAGTAGCATGCAGGTAATGAGAGTTAATACTGTGAAGCACTATGCTGGAAATCTTGGAAATTACATTGGAGGGATGGGCTTACCTACATCACACTTCAGCCCTTGGAGCAGCACTGCTTGGCATGACAAGCTTGGTTATCTGACTTGATGGATTTGAGATAAGACAAAAAGAAAGTCCTAGGGCCCTTTATTAGTTCATTGCATTAGGTGTACATTACTCACCTAACAAATGCAGTTGCATGGTTTGCAGTTTCGAGCTGTTCAGTATGAGGTAGCCTTTAATAGATGAAGAGCTGTGGCAGGTATGACATAGAAGTGCTAAGTTTCTAGGCTGAGTTGCCCATGATGTTTCAGCATGTATTCTGCAGCACCTGCTATGCTCAAAGTTTTCAGCACTGGTCTCATCACTACTGGACCACTCTTAGAGGCAGCCAGTAAACTCATTTGGTGCAGCTGGTGTTCTACCACATACTGAATAAGGTGGGCCTCTCCTCTGTTTGAAGAAGTATCATGTGAATCATCACTTTCTCCACTGCCAATGCCTCCCTTCCATGCACCGGCCCTGCCACCTGCTACACACTCCTGAGTGCCTTCACATCATAGCATTTGCTTTGGACTGTTTTGGTATCTACTCTGACTCAAAATGGTAGGACACCTTTCACATTTATAGTGCATTGTCTTTTTTCTAGGAACAGGGAGGGTAGTGCCGGGCTTGTACTGATTGCCTTTTTAAGCCACTTACTCTCTTTATATCTAAAAAAAGAAGGTAAACCTAAAGTCTAGCCTGAGGAGCACTGTGCTGCTGTTCCAGGCAGGAGTGCCCTCCGTCCTCAGTGAACTTCCTTACTGCAGCAGGGGAGAATTTGTATCATGCACAGCTCTCTCTGACTGAGGTACTCGCTGTCCTCAGAGTTGCTCTGTAAGAACTGCGTACTGTAATCTAAAGGGAACTTTAAATCATCGTCACATTTCTTTTTATGTAGCCCTTTATTCCAGTTACCTCTCTCTTGCAATGTCTGCTTTATTGATTTTCCTCTCCTTTATTGTTTGTACCTCTCCT